ATGTGCACTTAAGGAAAATGTGTATTCTGCTACATTTGGATGGAATGTTCTGTGCAGATCTATCAAATCCATCTAGTCTAATGTTTCATTTAAGACCACTATTTCCTTGTTGACCTTCTGTCTGGATGATCTATCTATTGATGTAAGTGGAGTGATAAATTCCCCTACTATTATTATCAATTTCTCTCATTAAGTTTGTTAATAATTGCTTCACATATTTTGGTGTTCCTATGTTAGGTGCATATATAATAATAAGTGTTATGTCTTCTTGATCAATTTTCCCCTTTATCATTCTATAGCATTCATCTTTGCCTGTTATGCTTATTGACTTGAGGTCTATTTTTTTTCTGATATGAGTGTGGCTACACCTACTTTCTTTTGGCTGCCATTATCCATCCTTTCATTTTGAGCCTATGTTTGTCTTCAGAGTTGAGGTGAGTCTCCTGAAGGCAGCATACAGTCAGTCTTGCTTTTTAATCTACTGGGCCACTCTGTGTCTTTTGACTGATGAATTCAATCCATTTATATTTAGGGTGATTGTTGATAGATGAGGACTTATTACTGCCATTTGATCTTTTGTTTTCTGTTTGCTTTATATCTCCATTGTTTGTTATTACTTGGGCTTCTGTCTGTTCTTTTGGTTTTGTGGTTTTCTATGATGATTTTCTCTGTTTTCTCTTTTTTTATGTTAATGTCTCTGCTCTAAATTTATGTTTTGTGGTTACGATGGGGTTTGTATAAAACATTGTATAGATAAAATAGTCCTTTTTCTGCTGATAGCATCTTATCTTCATTTACCTATACTGGTTCTGTCTATCTTCTCTTTCCCTTTTGTGTTGTTGTTTTCCAAATTTTCCCTTTTTATGTTGTAAGTTTGTTACCAAGTTGAAGTAGCTATAGTTATTTTTTCTCTTTTTTGTCATTTAAACTTTATGCTATAATAAAGCATTTATAAACCTATTCTGATATAGAATTGCAATTTTCTTATTCTTATTGTCTATTTATCACCTTATTCATTGTTTTACGTACTTTTGACTTTTTGTTTTCTGGTAGCAGAGCTCCTTTCAACATTTCTTTTAAGGCAGGGCTAGAGTTGATGAGCTCCCTCAGCTTTTGCTTCTCTGGGAAAGCCTTTATTTCTCCTTCATATCTGAAGGACAACCTTGATGGATAGAGTATTCTTGTAAGACAGGTTTTGTTTTTCAGTATTTTGAGAATATCATTATGCTCCCTCCTGGCCTGTAATCCTTCTGCTGAGAAATCTGCTGATAACTTAATGAGGGTTCCTTTGTAGGTTATCATAACTTTTTCCCTGGCTGCTTTTAAAATTCTTTCTTTGCCATATTTACTTTTGACAATTTTAATATAGTCTGTCTTGGGAGAGGTCTTTTTGCATTTCAGTAACTAGGTATTCTCTTAGCTTCATGGACTTGTATATCCAGTTTCTTTCCCAGGTTTAGAAAGTTCTCAGGTATTATTTGCTTAAATTAACTCTCTGCTCCCTTCCCCCTCTATTCTCCTCTGGGACGCCTGTTACCTTAATGCTCTTCCTAAAAGACTCAGATATGTTTCATAGAATTTCCTCATTTTATTTTATACCTTATTCTTTTCACTCTTCTGCTTGTATCATTCTAGATTTCTAACTTCAAACTCACTAATTCTTTCTTTCATATGGTCTGCTCTGTTTCTAATGTTTTCTAATGCATTCTTCATCTTGTTTGTCAATTTCTTCAGTTTCAGAATTTCTGTCTGTTTCTTTTACAGAGTTTCAATCTCTTTGGTAAAGGATTCATTTTGTTCATTGATTTTTTTCCTGAGCATACTTAACTGCTTTCTGAGTTGTCTTGTAGCTCATTGCTTTACTTCATGACAAATATTTTGAAATCTCTATCAAATTGCAATATGCAGTGTCACTAAGTTTGGTTTATGGAGAATAGTAATTTTCTTTCTGTGGTACAGTGTTACTGTGGTTCTTCATTGTGCTTGATGATTTGTTCCTAAGATGATGCATTTGAAGCCTCTCTCTACTTGATTCTATTGATTCAATAGGTGAGAAATTAGAGGTCTTTTTTGTTGTTGCAGTAGGCATTGTTATAGCATAAGTTTTCAATTTCTCTCACCTGAGCCGCCTCTGGTCATACTTGAGAGTCAGTAATTTTCACCCTCCATGGCCTCTGCCAAAGGTGTATTCCTGTGCCCTTGTTACCACCACTTATGCTTCCAGGGTCATTGGTGCCTTCCTGCTGTCAATGTCACTGTCGTTGCCACCTGGGGTCCAGGATGGTGGGCTCTTCCTCTGTGTCTGGGATCGCCACAGGCTCTACTGTCTCAGTGGGAAGAAAGGTAGGGAATCTGGGCACCTCTGCCATGACCAGTGTTAAGTTTGCAGGCTCTGCCACTGTAGGTGGGTGGGTGCTGGAAGTGGAGATGTCTCTGTAGCTGTGGGGATGGGGTCCCTGACCCTGCTGCTGCTGCTCCTCTGTTGCCTGTGGCTGGGGGCCTGGGTCACCTGTGCCACCTTCCCTGCTGCTCCTGGATTCTCTGCAGCTGCAGGCTCAGCTGCCATAGCTAGAGGGCCAGGATTGAAGGCACTGCCTCTGCCATTCCCCTGTTTCTGCCTCCTGTGTGTGTTCCAGTCCATGCTCCTTTAGATAGACAGATGTGAGGAATTCTCCAGCATCCTGGTTTGTTGGGCAGAAGCATCTTTGTTGAGTTGTGGATAGTTTACTAGTTGTAGATTGAAGGGGAGAGACAGAGCATCTCACTATACTGTGTTGCTGACATCACTCAAGGCCCATATTTCAAATGAATTATTCTATGTCACAATGTTCTGTTAATATAGATGATATGCAGCAGGAATGTAATGATGCAAAGAACTGATGAGGTAGTGATATTTGCAAGCCAGTTGTTAAATATTTGAAAATTATCCCTGCCCAAAGTAACAACTACCAAAATGAACCTGCCATCTGTTCCTGTAAACAAACTTGTGATTTCCACATGAATTCTCTGCTTACATAAGCCAACCTGGTCATTCAAATTCTGAAGTTTTCTATCTTCGTATCTATAATTATTCACAAATACCTTGGCTTCTGCAGTCGTCCTCTCAGTCTTATTGCACAGCATCATTTCTTGTTTAATTATTCTTATTGACTAACTACCAATTCTTGACCTGTAGTCTAAACCTTTTCAATCCTATACTTTTGTTGCTACCTGAGTGAAAACTACATGCCACTCCTTGTTCAAACTTCTTAAATGGTTCCTCCAGGCACCAGCCTATAAATATGCACTTTTTTGTATTTCATTCAGGATCCATTGTGCTCAGACTGCGTGATGAATTTTCCAACAACAAGCCTTCCTCCTGCTCAATTCACATTAAAATCCATGTCTCCCCAGTAATAAATTACTTCTACTCTCACTCTTCCTTTCCTAGGCCTTCCCATTACTAAGCCTGTGTGTGTGTGACGTTTTGTCTGCCTGCAATGATAGTCTATGTATTATGTATATGATCATCCCTCAGATCTCTACCTAACTACAAACTCCCTTACTCCCCTAAGGAGATCAGAAGGCTTCCTTTTCTGTTTTTCTATATTGGTTCCATATTTTGTTTGTATTTCAATTAGAGTAAATACCTATCTGTATTAGAGATACTTGTGTATCTCCTTGAGTCTTAAGAACCTGCTTTCAATTAATGTATGCTCACAAAAATTAAATTCTATATGAAAACTCACCTTTTATTTGGGAAATATATAATAGTTATGAAATGAGAACAATCCTAATATAAATGACTAAAGATAAATTTACGTAAATTTTTAGAATCTTTCAATCCATTTTTGAACTATTCATTCAAAAGATGTTTATTGAGAACTTACTATGTAACAGAAACTATCCTTGCCTTGGGGGGATAGAAAGGTAAACAAAACAGATATTTTCTAATCTTATTGAGCTTATAGGCTGGTTTATCTAGGAAAAAGTCAATAAATTGTATTAATATAATAGAAAAAGGCCCATAAGTCTGTTTAATGATAAATAAATATACTGTTAATGGAGTAAAGCTGAATCTAAAGTAAATTCCATATGCTTACAGTTATGTAATTTCCTTATTTTGTTCAAGGCATATGTGTCACATCAACTATGCAGGAGACTTTTGTCCTTTATGTATATTTGTTGTGATTTTTTTTAAAGTTTACTTATAATGGAATCATAATAGTTATCAAATAGTGAGTAGATTTATACCCAATTCATATTACTTGTGAGAATTTTAAATAATAGCATTTTATATTTCCAAAAATATAAAAATAGTATGTCCAAATCTGTAGAGTACAATGATAAATACAGTAGGAGAAAATATCCATAAATGGTACACTTATGGTACATTAAGCTATTGGTACACTTAACAAGCAATGTCAAATTTTTAAAGTAATGGCCTATAATAACAAAGTGGAACCATATAATCAATACCATTTAAGTCAGCATGCAAGCTCTCACCCTAAAATACAGGTTAATAATGATAACAATGAGCTAATTACCTAAATGGAGATTTAGTGAGTAGGCTGGCATAAGTACAGAACTCAGTAGAGAGTGTTCTTATACTTGGGAACCCTTTGTGAAGCAGAGACTGGGGGATGGAGTTCCAGTTCCATTTCTTGAATCATATTTTATGTGTGGATATATGAGCCAACTCCTCATATACCCAGGGAAATCACAAGCATAGGGGTGAAGAAAAGCACACACACTTAATTTTACCATGAAATATAATGCATGTATATAGCCATAAGATGGGAAAGCAGCTTGACACTGGAGTAATTCTAAGTAATGAGAACAATACACTTTTAGTACACTTTGGCAGAATGGATGACAATATATATGTTAGTAGAATGCAAAAAAATTTTTTTTGATACCATGTAGATAATCCCACTAACGAGGAAACTTCTAAAGTTTTCCCACTTTTCCTTTTCATACAATAACATAAGGAATATATTTTACGTCATCAACAGAAATACCTGGTTTGCTTCATGAAGATCTGGAAGTCCACCAATAAAGACAGCCCCTGATTCTGGCAGTGCTTTTCCTGGTACATAACCAATAGATTCGCTTGCTTTTATAGTCTTCCCTAGAATAGTCAGTTCAGCTTTACATGGATCCAATTCTTGCCTGCAACCATTTAGATAAGAAATTTATGGTTTTAGCATGTGTTGTAAAAACATCTGTTTGACCAATTAGTTACGCTATTAACAAAAGAAGAAAGATTTAAGTACATAGATTATCTCACCATAAAACCAACAAAGCCAGAAGTAGATTAATCTATTCTAAATTAGAAATCCTCAATGATTTTAGCACATAAATATAAAGTTAAACTTTAATAAAACAACAAACTGTAGCAATCACCTAATGAAATAAACAAATCCTGATAATAAACAGATGTTTCTCAAAAATAACTAAAACAATGTTAGAGCATAATATTCTACTTCAGTTTTTTACACTGTTAATTTTCTCTGTGAGTGAAAATTATTGAAAAGGATCAAGTTTAGATATGGTTATCTGGTGTACTATATATCTTTAGGTTGAAAATAGTAATACAGCAGCGAGTAATTAGTTGTGGAAATATAAATCATAGCAAGAAGTATAGCAAGTAAAATTAAAAAAAATAATTTAACTAAATATAACTTAATTAGGAGATTTCCAGCAATAATTTTTATGTGCCCATTTTTTAGAAAGATGAGAAAAAATGCTTCAACTTGTAGATATGCATGTCTCACTCACTCTAGCCATCTGTTTAACTAATCATCTAATCCAGGTGTTAGAAGCAGTGGCCCATCAGCCAAATCTTGCCTGCCACCTCTTTATAAATAAAGTTTAATTGGAACAGAACCACACATTTCTTTACATATAATCTAAGGCTGCTTTCATGGCAGAGTTGATAGTTGCAAAAAAGACTCTGAGACATGAAGCCCCAAAAATATTTGTTATCTAACACTATAGAAAAATTTGGTAGATCCACTGTCTAGTCAATTTATTTGTTTACCTACCCAGCAAGTAACCTTAATTATAATCCTTTTCGAGATACTCATATTGTAAGACACCCATGTAACATTCACCTATGTCATCTTATATTATGAATATGTGACATTCTGCCTCTTCTTTTATCCATCTTTATTAAAGTAAAGTTGATTTACAACATCATATAAGTTTCAGGTGTACAAAACAGCAACTCAACATTTTTATACATTATACTCCATTTAAAGTCATGACAAAATAATGGTTATATTTCCCTGTGCTGTACGGTACTCTTCTGTAGCCTATCCATTTAATATATAGTCATTTGTACCTCTCAATCCCCTACCCCTATCCTTCCTCTCCCCACCATGGTCCTCCTCACTGGTAACCACCAGTCTGTTCTCTGTACCGGAGAGTCTGTTTCTGTTTTGCTATATTCATTTGTTTTATGTTTTAGATTCCACATGTAAGTGATAACATAGAGTATTTGTGTCTCTCTGATTGACTTATTTCATGTCTCTCTCTGATTAACTTATTTCAGTAAGCATGATACCTCCTAGGACTATCCATGTTGTTAACAAATGGCAGAGTTTCATTTCTTAAAATTGGGATTTAGTTGATTTACAATATTATATTAGTTTCAAGTGTACCACATAGTGATTCAAATTTTTTTAGGTTATAATCCATTTACAGTTATAAATTATGGAAGCAGCCTAAGTATCCATCAACAGATGAATGAATAAAGAAGATGTGGTATTTGTATATTTACATAAAGTTTTTAAATTGAATTATGCATGATGCAACGGGTAAAGGGTAAATCTCTATGAACTACCATATTGTGATTATACTCAAGTAAGCCCTACCTAGGTCAAGAGGTAGAAACTTACTCTTAAGAATCCCCACTCCAACTCCGGTATACTTTATCACACACCTTCCAACTTCATTCAACATTATGCTTTCCATATTCACCTTTGACATTGAATTTAATAGCAGTTTGTTCTTTTTCAACATATTTTATATTGATATTTTACAAATTACTCATTTCAGTGTTGCTGTACATTTTGGTGCTATCATGAATATTGATGATATAAACATGCTTGTGTATATTGTTTGGTGCAATATATATGCATTTCTGTTGAGGATTTAACAAAAATCACTTAGAGTTCTCCATATTTGGGATATATATATGCTCTGTTTGTGTTGCGAACATTTTATTTTTCTTTTCAGTGTCTCACATTTTTACTTTCTTAATAGTGTATTTTAATGATCAAAAGCTCTTAATTTTAATGTATGGTAATAGATCAAACTTTTATATAATGATTCATATTTTGTTGTTGTTCCTTTTCTATGTCATTTTTGAAAATATTATTTTACTACTGACACTTAGCTACACAATCCACTAGGGGTTGGTTTTTTATATAGTCTCAGGTATGTATCAATCATAAATCATGTTCACATATATATGAGTCTGTTTCTAGACTCTCTATTCTGTTCCACTGGTCAATTTTTCTATCTTTGTGTAAATATAGCACTGTCTTAAAACTTACTCTAAAAATATAGTATTTAATACCCAGTAGAGTACGTAAGTACTCCTACTTGTTTTTTCCTCCCCTATATTTTTTTTAGCAATAGGTGTTTGTGTGTGTCTGTGTGTTCCTGGGATCTCTATTTTATTGGTCTAAATTTCTAACCCTGTACCAATACCACACTGTGAAATACTAATATTATATATATATATATATATATATATATAGAGAGAGAGAGAGAGAGAGAGAGAGAGAGAGAGAGAGAGAGAGAGGGAGAGCATCCTTCAAATTTCCTCTCTAGTACTGCTCTTGAAAAATGTTGGTTTCAAGATTATGCTGTCCTTATATTCTTTCAGAAAGTTTATGTAATATTCTTTCACATAAGACAGATTTTACTAGTACAGCCACCTGGGCTTGGAGAGGTTTTTTTAGGTAAGTATTAAATATGGATTTAATAAATGTAGCTATCTATGGATTGTGTCCAATTTGTTAAGTTGTGTCTTTATCTCAGATTTTTAAATTTAATTTATATTTTGAAAATAATTAGCATAAAATATTTCATAATTTCCTTTTATATTTTTATTGGTGTCAAAACTCTAATGACAGCTCTCTTTCCTGTGATGTTGGCTATTTTTGTCTTTTCCCATTTTATTTGCTTTGTAGATCAGTATTGGTAGGGAGTAGTAAATTTCAAGGAATGCTTTTGGTATTGTTGATGGTGGCCAGTCTCTGTTTTCCACTTTGTTAACTTCTGCTCTTATCTTTAGGATGTTCTTCCTTTAACTTTCCTTTGAGCTTAATTTACTCTCCTGTTTCTAGGGGTCTTAATCTAATATATGCTCTTAAGATTGTAAATTTTCCCTTTTAAGAATAGATTTAGTTATATTCAACAAGTTCTATTTTTCATTATCATCTGTTCAAAATGTTTTCTAATTTATCTTGTGATGTTTTTCTTTGGTTCAAGAATTATTCAAAATTGTACTTCAAGTTTACAAATGTACAGGGATTTTCTCATTTTTTTTACATTATAAAATTTTATCAAATTTTAAATTTTATTTAAATCAAGCTTGTTGAATATTCTCTATTTGCTTTTCAATCTTTGAAGTGTAGTGACTTAGACTGCATAGCTCAGGATGTGGTCAATTTTAGTAATGATTTCATGGTCCTGGAAAGTCTGTAGTTAATTACAGAGTTCCATATATGTGAATATGGTCAGGTTTTATACAACACACAAACATACACACATTTAGCTTGTTTTGTAGAGAATATAGAATAAAAACAATGAAATAATTGAATCAGGCCTATGATGCATGTACTTTTTTTCCTAAAAAAATTATTTACAGATATTTTTTTTGCACCCTTCTGTTTATACCATGATATAAAGTTAATAGCATAAGACCTGGTGTAGCCAGACAGCCAATTTAAGGCTTTGATAAAGTTTTGAATTAAAAAAAGAAAAAATCAATAATATTCTCTATATTAAGAACATGGGAGAAAAATGTGTGGAACATTTTTAGAATCCACTTGATATTCTTGCATTCTGTATCTAGAAGCAAACAAGAAGCTTTCTGTGTTAATTATTTCTTACAATTAAACTGTTAAAAATATCTTTGGGAGGATATAGCTTCCAGGAATTTATTCATTAAATGATAAAAATAAAAAGCACAGCTACTTTTATTCCAATCAATCTCTAAATTTTAATGTTTGGAAAAATAACTTGTACTGTTTCATGATATTAGAATAGCAATAATAATTATTCACTAATATTTTGTTAATGAACTAATTTCCCATATTTCATGAAGCAAATGATACCCATTAAGATTTCAAATATATTTATTTGCCCTTTAATTGTAATAACTGAAAGAGTAACTATAAAATAATATATATAAACTCACTTTTTTTCCTGACTACAGAGCAACATAAGTTTGTTATAAAAAATTAGAAAAAAAAAGAAATTTATCCAACATAATTGTTAAAGACAAGAAAACAGGCCCAAAGTGGAGTCACTAATGTGAAGCCCTCACGTCACCAAACCAAGTTTTAATTAACTTAATATAAGGTTCCCAGAAATGGAATCTTAAACCAGTCAATGAGGAACTGACCAGCATTAGTTACATAATCTGCCTGATAAGACCCTGCCATCCCTGTGAAGAAAGTAGTCTTACAATAACCAATCTACTATTTTTCCTTGTATGACTTCCTTGTTTCTGCTCTCTCTGCCTATAAAATCTGTTGCCTTGTGTAGCTCTTTGGATCTCCTTTCTAGCTGTTAGGTTGAATGCTACATGATCCATGAATCACTGAATAAAGCCAGTAAGATCTTTAAAATTTACTCAGTTGAATTTTGTTTTTAAACAGTCAACTAAAGTCATCATTTGGAATCTTTGTCACTTGGTTTTTGCAATATCAATAAAATATAGATCAATAGCTATACATTTTCATTAAGATTTTTTTTCAATTCTCCTTAATGATTATATAACCTATTGCTGGATATTTAGTTTCTAAGATTCAGAAATAATAAATGATTTTGTGATTTGTGAAAAGTCATCTAACCCTTAATTAATAATTTTCATAGAAGTGTTCTTTAAAGTGAATTATTGAAGCAAATCATTGGCAATTTTAAGGGTTTAT